ATAAATAAATAAATAAATAAATAAATAAATAAATAAATAAATAAACCTATGCGTCTATAGTCTGGCTGCTGCAGGATGTTTCGGCTTTGGTAATACATGTCTTTATCTAAATAACAACAGACTTGGGCTCTGGTGTGTTTACTCTTGACCCTGAAGGCCAGATGGCAGGTGTGGCTACCAAATACCTGAAGGATTGAGGGAAATAAGTCTGTTTGCCCCTTACACATGACAATACAAGTCTTCTGTCATTGTCCCCACTTTTGGTTGGGTACTTAAGTATGTTGAAAATTCAAGATATTCAGCGTTCAGTATGGTCTGAATGACCCTCCTGACACCTATCTGGTCTCTCTGTCTTTTCTTTTAAGGTCTTTAGCTAGCCTTTCTTTGTCCACACTCCCCCTTCTCAGGTATGAACCGTGGGCTAGTTGGCTGTCTCGGACTGCAGCCCTGCAATGACACCTTTTCACACATGGCACAGCAACGTAAGGCTACACAGAGGGCAACCACACACCTCCGAGAGGCACGCCAGTCCACCAAGCCTTGCCTATCACGATGGATAGAACCCCTCTGAAACCATGAGCCCCAATGAGTCTCTCCACCCTTAACTATCAGGTATTTTGGTAACTGTGATGTAAAACCGACTAACCCAGCATCTTTGAGGGTCACAAAGCCATTGGTATTGAGTAGGCACGAACGAGGGATGAAGCGTAGAGAAGAAGCACTTACCAGGACCCAGAAGGTAACCAGCACTATTGAGGGTCCAGCCTCCTTGTCCCTGGAAGAGATGAAGAAATGAGGACTAGGGCAGGAAAGTGACAGGATCCGGGAAGTCTACGGTGATGTAGACATCCCCATACCGCCTTGATACTAGCCAGTGACATATTTTGCTTAGTCCCTATTTCAGCCCTGTGCAATTCAGACTTCCTATAACCTAACAAGTGGAGGGCCCGGGCAAAATAGCTCAATGGGTAATGGTGCTTCAGTGCTAAGTATGACCTGAGTTCAAGCCCCAGGACCTACCTAATGGAAGGAGAGATCTTACTCCTTCAGGGTTATCTTATGATCTCCACACTCTCACTGCGGAATGCATAACCCCCCCCATGACAGACAGAGACAGACTGTGAGAAATATCATGTTTAAAACATAACAGCTTGGGTCAGGCGGC